CCGCACGACGCGCCCAACATGCGCTTCTACATCGTGCCCATAGGTACCCAATGTTAAACAATTAACTTCGACAACTAGCCTCAATCCCGCCAGAAAAGCCCGCTATTCCAATGCGTCTCATGACATTGACAGTTGTCAGATAAGGATGGGACGTCTATGCCGATAAACTAGTGTTGCGCCAATCTTTTAGCTACAATACTATATCACGATTCGTACACGTTCTATACACTAACTGTTGTTTTGAAACATTCCCGAGCACATCAGTTACCTTCTTAGCTCAAAATTGCTCTAGTCGTTCCGGAAATTAACCGAAATAAATGCCAGTTTGAAAATAGACTAGTATTTTTTTTAAATGTCCGCTAAATGTAAAGTATTCGTTTTTTAGATATTTTAGATACTTTGTTATTAAATACCAGCTGTTAGCGGCGACTTTGCTTGCGTGAAATTAAAAAATAATAAGAGATAATACTAAAAATACTAATAATAAATAATAATAAAAAATACTAATCTTTCCTCTTTATGTTAATATAGATAAGATACATTTAAAAATGTAAATTATATATTATATTGTATACAGGTCCGTGCACGGTGGCGCGCTACCTGGCGGCGTCCGACAGCACGTATGCGGCGCTGTTCGCGGCCGACAGCTGGCCCGCGCTCTGCGACCGCGCCGCCGACCACTCCATGCCGGACATCGCGGACATGTCCTCCAGGATCGCCAGGTAACACACACTATATTCTAAAATAATTTAGATTTAAATTAATTTTACACTTGCTTTCGCTTATTTTACACTATCTTTCACTTATTTTACATTATCTTTCACTTATTTTATACAAGCTTTCACTTATTTTACACTAGCACTCACTTATTTTACAGGTTTTCTCTTATTTTACACCAGGTGTCACTTATTTTACACTAGGTTTTACTTATTTTTCACTAGCTTTCACTTATTTTACATTACTTTTCACTTATTTCTCTTTGGCTTACTGTTTAGTTTGTATAATTATTTTTTCAAACCTACCGCCGTTAACATAAGTTAAAAAAAAGTGATCTGTGAGGACGTGTGAGTTGTGTGTATTAATTGTATATCCCTAAGATAGCTAGTTTTAATGTACACTTACACTTATTTTACACAAGCTTTCACTTATTTTACACTAGCTCACTTATTTTACATTTCTTTTCTTGCGACTCTATCCGCGTGGAATTAAAAATAAACAAAATCAGGTACTAAGTGTTTTTTCAGACTATGTTGTACATGTATGCCAAATATCATCGACATCAGTTCAGCAGTTTAGGCTACAAACGCTAACAAACATCTATCCATTTTAACTTTTGCTTTTATGATGTAAGATAGGAAGATTATTATCACTTCACTTTATATTGTTTTTATAAATAAAAAATGTTTTGTAATGTGTGTGCAGGTACCTGAACAGCGCGGGCGCGGTGAACAACGTGGCT